TTATATAAATTTTAAATGAACTTAATCCAACATGCACTCTACTAATCAGATAAAGTATGTCTTAAAAACTCTAGTACTAGAATAACAGATATTATAAAATGTTTTCCTGTGAAAATACACCTCAATCTCAGACATATCTATTTTAAGATGTGTGCGGGCAGTGCCTTTATCGTAAATCTCATGTCACACCCGTCAGTAAAATAAACTGATAACCTAAAGATGGTAGGAACAAATTACTGTATTTATTATATGATTGTTGCATTACTTGATTCAAAACAATCTGAAAGCCTTACCGTTATATTATTTAATTATTTTACATGTGTAAGGAGTGGGGTGTTACTTTTAAATTATACATCTACGTGATTACAACATATCTTATATAGGACTATTAAATAATGAATTGATGTCTCCATGCGCATGTACAACCGGAACCCGAAAATATAACAATGTAACAATGCGAAAATGCAACAATGCGAAAAAGCGAAAATGATGAAACTATGCGAAAAGGCGAAAATGCCTTTGTGTTTTCGCATTTTTGTATTTTGAACGCGAAAAAGCGAAAATACGACAGATGGAATGCAAATATACGACAGATTTTATGTGACGTAATTTCGCCCTACTTCTGTCGTATTTTCGCTTTGTTGCCTCGAAAATGCGAAGAAGCGAAAATACGACATAACGTAAATCAGCCACCATACATTAACATTTTATTTTGGTAACAAAATCTCGATTATATAGATACAAGTAGAGTGTTTGATGCTAAAGCATCAAGTCGCCGGATAGAAATATGATTGTATTACCATAAATAAAAGAAAATATCAGTTTAATGGTTCAAGTATAAAGAAAAGAGGAAAAATAAATTGAGTAATGTTTATTCATAAACACATTTTCATGTACTTGCCACAATTATATATCTTTCTTGCTATAAACTTTGTAAAAGAGTTTTATGCAATAAATTTATGTTATGTTATAATAAAACATCATATTTGAAGCAAATTTTGTCAAGAAACTGTTATCATTATTAAATAAGCAAGTATTGTTTGGCAATATTTACCCGAGACTCATTAATTTTCGGGAGGTGTTTCGTTAGTTTTCATAACTTATTATGATAAATGTTAACGATTTTCTTGTAAGTATAATTACATGTATATATCAATTAATACTGCTCGATTGCCTAGTGGTAAGTATGACGAAGTTGTAACCTGGTAGGCGCAAGTTCGAATCTTGGACAAATTTTAATTTATCTTTTAACTATATGAAACATAAGTTGATAAATAGTGTGTTTCATTTTTAGCACTTTTTTATTTCATAATTTTGATAAATGGTCAAGTTTTGCAAAATAAAAAAAAAATATAAAAAAAAGCATAAAAAATAACTTTATCGAAAATACAGTCTTCAATTTGAAACTAACTGAAAATCTATCATCGAGGCTTGTAAATCAAGTGATATGCTTGTACATGTAATTCTACTTGTAATTCTACTTTTTATATATACCGTTGTACCATACATTGAAATCCGTATGGTTTACTTCAGAATCCGATAATTACCGACAGATAATTACCGATTATCGAATATTTGCAAAGTGACTATGAACATATATATGCTTAATTATTGCATAAAACAATGCAATTCTACTGTAAAAGTGGTGTCTGCATAAATTATTCTTATCGGAAAAAATATACAATTTAGTTGAAATTAATATTCCCGTCGTTACATACAATATAGTTAACGTTTAGATTCCGGCCCCCTATCGTCATACCGAGATATTGTAATTATTCATACAAAATAACTTTGATATGCACTTTATCAGCTTCTATACCTTGTGCAAACCATTCACAAGTTACCTGTATGTCTGTCTTATCAGCCATTTGTTACTATTAATAGATTTTATAACAATAACATACCACGTGTAGTCACGTGATTCTTAGAAAGAAACAGGGAGAAATAGTTTATAACTAAATAAAATAATAAAATAGGATAAGTCTCATAAGATATAAACACCCAGATAATTTAAAGTGTCATTTCAAATATCATGCATGATTTATTTATCATAAAATAGCAACGCTTGACACTTTGAAATAAGTAAAAGTATCCTTAAATTCAATGACTTATCCATAGGGATACGTACATCATTAACTCATTTTATAAAAATTGTAATGTTGCTTTTTAAGATGTCAATATTTGAATATTTCATTTCATTGAGCAACGTTATTGTATGTTTGAATTTTTGAGATTACTGAAAACAATTGTAGTCTTTAATTGTTCAGTAATTGATATGCTTTTATTTACAGATTTTAAGGCCTTCTCCTACCATAGGTATAATATTAAACTGTTACAAATACAGTCGCCGGTTTCTACCGGCGACTAATAAACTTGAACAGGTTATCAAAAATTTATGGTGGCTGATTAATGCCACAGGAATACTTGCATGTACATACAAAAATGTATAAAAAATATCTGAGTATATAACGAATAGTGAGAATAAATACAGTAATACACGGACACGTTTATAGCTGGTTATATGGCTAAATATAAAATGTCAACGAACTTTCCCTTTTGATTAATTGTCTGGTAATCTTACTTTTAGTTATAATTGGCTGATTATATATCGATTTGTTTCGTATGTTGACAAGACGACCTGTTTGTTGATGGTGGAATTTATACTAAAGCTATTACTTATGCCACTTTTGTTTAAAGTTCTCTGTAACTTTTTTGTAAAAATATGTTGTTGTCACTTTAACAGTGTGAAATTTTACATCAAATGATTTTAAGAGAAATTACGATTTATGCTAAACAGCAAACTTGTTTGGTTTAGGCACATGTATTTTATTAAAGTTACTATCAATAATCAAAGAACTGAAAGTACTGGAGACCAGCAAAATATTTTGTGTGGGGAGAATAACCAAAATATATCTATAACAAATTGAAAATGAATGCCTTTCAAGTATATACACATATATACGGGAGTTTGTTACTGCAAGTAGGTGTTATTTACTCAATTGGTTAGTAAGAAGTTCATGTATAATATAATTATGTTAGTAGAGGCTCTCTGGACATGTATTTATAATTGCAATGTAAACAATAAATCAGAAAGGTATTTGTTCTTATCATTTGCTAATGCATTGAGCACAGTTGAATTAATCATACTTGAGTTAATCAGTAAACCACAGTAAACCGTGGAGTCACATTATGATTGCATCACGTATCCGTTATATTGCAAATGTAACAAATTTTACTATCATTAGCAATGATCACATGATTTCAATGGAAATAATAATAATAATTAATCAGACAAATACATTTGAGCCGCGTCACGACAAAACCAACATAGTGCGTTTGCGACCAGCATGGATCCAGACCAGCCTGCGCATCCGCGCAGTCTGATCAGGATCCATGCTGTTCGCTATCAGTTTCTTATAGGGTTTGTAAGCGAACAGCATGGATCCTGATCAGACTGCGCGGATGTGCAAGCTGGTCTGGATCCATGCTGGTCGCAAACGCATTACGTTGGTTTTGTCATGACGCGGCTCATTTGTACTTCTATATCTTGTGGTTCGATTTTACTGTAAGATCCTGTATTGTAAACAAATGGAATATACACATATAATTTGAACACAATGCACTTAAACAACTCTAACGAGATATATTTTCACTCAAATTTACATCCGGAATATTATCAGAAAATAAATATGTCATGATCAATACTTGAGAAATAAAGGAGTATTTTGAAAGATTTACAATAATCCTCACCCCATGTGAAGTGTCAACAGTTTGTATTGGCCATAGCGTCCGAGTGGTTTTATCTTGACTGCCCTAGTCTATCTTCTTTCTTGTGATAATTTTGTCTGTTTGAAGTACGACCACACGCAATTTTATCTATGATACAAACATTTTAAGCATTTCGTAATTATTTATTCAAACAATGCAATGGTATGTTAATAGACCATATTATTGAAATTCTTTAAATTCAAGGAGCTGGTAAAGAATGCGCTTATGTATTGTATCTGATATAAAGCTTGTATCGATCATTTTATCTTTTAAATATATGTTAATGTATAGTTGATCATCAGTATACATGTATTGTATGTCTAAAAAGCGGACGGTCGTTGATTATCATCATAATGAGAAATGCCTGTTTTGTTTTGTAGTTTTAGAAAACAAACTGCGACTACATTATGTACGTGTTAACTTATTTCAAAGACACGGGAGACTGCTGCTCTTGCCTTTTCCAACGAAAATATCTTGTTATAATGCCATGTAATAATGCCATGTAAGAATGACAGGAATATTAATAAAACATTTCCCTTAACATGCTTGTTCTTTTCTTAACCGATATGTTCTGATTGTGAAACGATGTTGCCGTTGAACAATACATTCATTATGATAAAACCTGTCAAAACAGTGTGTTTCATTTCATACGTTTGTTAACAATGTGGTAACAAACAATTATTTAATGCACAGCATTCAAGTCTCCATGAACATTTACGTATAAAGTGAATTGGTAAATAACTGAAGGTCTGCAATACAATACATACAAACATGTAGTAAAAAAAAAACAAAAAAAAAACAACAAAAAAATCAATTTATAAATATTTTAAATACTTATGGAAATTGTGCCCATTGTAGACTAATCCACTTTAAGTTTAAAAAATGTACGTACGAGTTTGTTAAGTAAAGTCTTCACATGTTTACATGAAATGTGAGGCCTTATTCAAGAGTATATATAGAATATTTTCGAAAACCAACACAAGAGAAATTGTTGTGCAATGATTTGAGCATTTACTTATCTGAAACTCTATACTACTGATTTGAAAAAAAAGTTGCTGAAATATTTAATTACATTACACTAAAAATTTTGTTTTTGTTTTATTAAGAAGACATTTTATCTCATTAATAATGTAGCTCCTCGTTTTTCCTTAAGCATTTTGAAAATGTGCAGTGAAGTTAGATATTGGAAAGCATGAACCTTATTTGATGACATTTTGTAGTAAAATTGAATATGTTTATTTTCAATTTGCAATTATTTCAGAATCAGGGTTATCAGTTATTATCATATAAGTATAGATAGCGGAGAGTATAGATAAAAGGAGAATACCGACTGACTGTGATAAGTCTGGCCACATTCTTAACATGCCTGGGGTCCACTCCATGTGAAGATGGCGAGCCATTGTGACCCCTTATATACCCCCAGCAGCTTCCAACTTGGATATAAAGACGATGCATTCGCGGGTTAATCATTACCATTTTCATATTCATACACTCAAAAGCTGAGCAAAACAATATTTCTTAAAATTATTTTGTGTTCGGAAGTAAGGCAAAAGAAGAAATTAAGCAAGTAAGTATAAAACGTTCTGAGTAGACTTTCTTTAGATTTCATTTTCATTATTATTAAGCGTTTTCTTGATAAAATATCAATCTATATAACAGTTGAATAGAAACATTTCTTAAGATCGCATTAATTTTCCAGGCACTTTTCTGGAAAAAAATCTTCTTTACCTACATTTGTTTAAACATACTTATTCTCTTTTATTTCAGGTTTTGACATGAAGCTTGTGGCGATATTTATATTCTTCCTTGAGTTATCGTTTTCACTATGTAGAATAATTAACTCTCAGTATGACAAAGTACACCCTGAGCAGAATCTGAAAGGGGACGCACATATGTTTGGTCTATTTGGAAAAAATAGTGCTAGTGAAATTTTTGAAACTATTTCTGACAACAATATCGCTACGAAAATGATAGAAAGTAACCAACAATTTCCGATATCAAAGGAGGAAAACGATATTGTTGCTAATAGAGAGAAACGTTCAGTTCATGTCGTCGGTAGTGAGGACAATTTTGCCGTGGACACGGAAATGAATAATGAAATAACGTCTTATCTTCAAACGGAAAATGAAGTAGAACAATCTATGGAGAGACACATGACTTCCTTTTATGTTGACATGATAAATCTGTTCCAGTATGAATTATTAGAGATTGCAGATAGAGAATCTAAGACTCGCCAACATTTGAGACAACAAAGAAAGTCACCAAGTTTAAGACCTAAAAGGAGTTTACGATCACTTTTAAAAGACGCTCATATAAAGAACATTCTTATGAAATATTTTCAACAAAAACAAAGTCAAGAACATGGTAATCCTTTGTTACGATACGGATAAATTTCATGATTCTAATTCAAACATTTGGAGGAAAAACTGATCAATTATTTTGTTAACCATATTACTGTGATTGACATATCATCTGTCATCTAGTTTACATGTCATAATTCAAGAATCTCAATTTATTTGATGAATACCCTTTAAAATTTAATATTAAAAGATAACATTTCAAATCTTTTTTTTTCTTATATTCCCCATGCATATGACGGATGAAGAAATTTGTATTTCTCACATTCTTTATAACATGCAAAGTGAATTTCCCTAGAGCATAGATAATACCAAAAATGAAATTATGTTTGCAATTCAAATTTTCAATTTTCCTTTTCTGGAAACAAAAAAAAACACACTTCATCTGTAGAAAATAAATTGTAAAAATTTTAATAATATGGTCAATTGTTTTTGGCAATATTTTAGATACGGTTAAAGCTTATTTTTTGCCGATGATACTGCAACTTCTGTATTTAACTGCCATGAGCAGTACCAAAACTATTGCCTGTTAGTCCGGGGTTTGTTTGAAGACCCTGAATATTGTAGCCTTATTATCTAGTCTTTAGCTTCCAAGAAATGTCCTGTCTTATACCACGGGGCAACATATACAGAAAATCTTGAAAAATATAGAATGTTGATAGTTTGGTACCACATATGTAGTTTAAAATCAACAAGATCAAATCACTCTTATTGTCGCAGAAAGTAACATCTAGAAGACTTCTTCATTCACTATCGCCAATTAAATCTATCATATCCATCGTGTATTAATTATACTTATTAAGACGTTTTATATCACTATTACTTTTAATGCCAGTCTTACTTAAAAACATTGAATAAAAAAGGCTTCATAACCTCTGGCGCCCTTTTAAAATTCCGTTTAATTTAGTGTCACCCATTGTTTTCTCGTTAAGAGCACATGCATTCTTTTACTTTGGGACCATATGTCACTTTTCATATAATGGCACGAACGTGTCGCATTGAATATTCCCTGATCACCGCCGTACGAACATATCTGCGGATGTTTCTTAATTCAAAATTTCGCCAATTGTTTAAATGTTGAATACTGCTTAAGCCGGTGCTTTGGGGAGAGGACGATATAGATTACATTTACTATTACCATCGATGAACAGGCTCGATCATACTAAGCATACACCATTTTCAATCTTGCCGTTTTGGGCGTTCTTCAGGGATTTCATTTATTCTCTATTTTATATATAAAAAATAGTGTCCCGTTTTCGTACTTTATTTGGTATATGACGAGTGGATCTGCCACAATTACTCGTTAAAATGTATATGTAGTTATACCTTGTATTAACTAATTACAAAACTGTATTGACGTTAACCAATATCAATGTGTCAGTCGGCGATCCAGTCAACTAAAATTTATTAACAAAACAATTTATAACCTATGAAAAACAGGGATTAGAGCTTCTCGTTTCAGATCTCACAATTCGAAAAAGGTGTTTATTTTAATTGCATTTTTTATATTTAACAACGTGTAAAGAAGTAACATATTTGATGTTATGATTGTTATACATAAATGCATGCTATTTATAACTAGTTTATACCCTTTATGACTGTAGACTTTAATTACCTGTGTCAGCATAAATCAAGCTGAACTATAACAACTAAAAATAACAAGTTTTAACATTGATGTTAAAGTGAAATGTGTGTGCTACAGTTAAAGAGCAAGAAATGATGAAGATTTCATGACATTTTTAGCGTTTACACGTGTTTGCGGATATGTTAAACACGTGTTATGATGCTAGACTATATGTTCTTCATCTTGTTTGAAGTATGAGTCAGTAAAGCTTCAAAAATTTAACATTAAGTTTGATCAATATATGCAATTTTGTTTTTGTTTTATAAAGAAGACATTTTATCTCATTAATAATGTAGCTCCTCGTTTTTCCTTAAGCATTTTGAAAATGTGCAGTGAAGTTAGATATTGAAAAGCATTAACCTTATTTGATGACATTTTGTAGTAAAATTGAATATGTTTATTTTCAATTTGCAATTATTTCAGAATCAGGGTTATCAGTTATTATCATATAAGTATAGATAGCGGAGAGTATAGATAAAAGGAGAATACCGACTGACTGTGATAAGTCTGGCCACATTCTTAACATGCCTGGGGTCCACTCCATGTGAAGATGGCGAGCCAGGGGCAAGCTGTTGTTTTCTTGAGCAAGACACTTTACACTCATTGCTCAGTACTGGTTGGTTCCAGAAACTGATTCGAAAATGTGCCTATAAGCTATTAATTTCTTACACAATCGATTTAAATTCTGTATTAACCATATTAGGTACGCTTTTGGGAGTTTATTCATAATCTCATAACATACACGATAAAGCGAAATGTACTAGTAAGCTTAAGTTCAACCGATCGTTAAGAAACACTGTTAATACTTTTTTAAAAAATTTATTTGGTAAACAAATTAATATATCATATAAATTAATGTCCTTTAAAGTTACTGAAATGGAGGTATCAGTCATTAAGTGCTTTACATTGTTTTAATATAAAAAAATGAACTAATTCTATGAGAGTACGCAAAGAATACATACATGTATACTTAAAATTACTAATAATACAATCAATCAATGTTCAAGATTCGTCGTAGGAAAGATGCTATTCTAATTCTATATCAAATGAATTGGTTTTGAAAAATCAAAATCTTTGTGCTTTAAATTATGCCTTTGATTTAAAATAACAATGTTTATTCTTACATTAAAATCAATTCAACATTCATATAGGTACACAAAATTATACAAAATAAACATATACTACATTGTATTATGCAACGAACACTCAATAAAACATAAAATTGAAAGACAATGTAGGCATTTAACAAAATGTTTCTCGTATTAATAAAATTGTTTCATAACAAAACATTTCTATAGTTCGACAGAAGCACATAAGTTACAACCAGACGACAGAAAGACAATGTAAAAAGGTCCCAATCATTGCTCACACATTCTTCATAGATATCAGATACCATAATTGTGACATTATTTACTAATGTTCATGCGAAACATCTTTTAGACTATACTATTCTTCTCTTCTTTTTTTTTCGTAAAAATATATTTGTTGTTGCTAAAAGGATCAGGGTTTATCTTAACTGATAATAACACGATTTCTGGCAGTAAACTCTAAGCTTTAAAACCCAACCATACAGTTCTATCTACTCTACAACTAATATTTCACCAAACCTTCATCCGTGGATGTCTTTTGCTTAAAATGAAGATATTTACAAGCAAATATTGTCTAAGTCTATGTGCTACAGATACGCTTTTGTTCAAAACAGCTGTTTATAGTACCATACATGATAACATAATGCTAATTTCAAAAGATACTATTCAGGAATTTCAGTTAATATACCTGTAAATATGACACGTTTGTGTCATATTTTAACGCTTGTTTGCCGACTCAAACTGCCATTTTTTGCACGACAAATACTTCTCTAGCATAATACAAGTTAAACATGGAATTCAAGCAAGTCAGTGGAACTTAGATTGTGCTAATCTTCCCGAATTCTCAATGGTCAATTTGTCAACATAATCATCATCGGTTGTCACTCATAGCGTCCAACTCTTTTATATATGGTTGCCTTTTCCCATTTATTGAGAGACCTTTATGGTTAGGCTCAACGTCAACATATATTCCACTAAGTCTGTCCAAATTCATGTCCGGATCAGTAGTTAAAGGAACATCTGTATTCTGCTGCCCAAATCTTATATCTGTCTCACTTTTTGTCTCGTTCTGATCATCTTCCTCCTTGATGTTGCTGAAAGCACGAGGTCGTATGGAATCAAAAGACTCATTTCTAGTAAATGAGGTATCAAGCACTGGCTCATTGTATATTGGATTGCCTTTGTGCGACCTTTGGCTATCGTACCCATAATTAACATACCAGTTTACAGGTGCTCCTTGTGAAGTGCGCCTCTCGTTGACCTGTAAAATATGTATTTGATTTTAAAGATTTGTCTTCGAAAAAAAAAATTACAACATAACATATTTCTTTCATTTACAAGATTTCAATAACTTGTGCAGATTTCAAATTGTGATGTTTTCAAGCCGGGATTTAAATAAGGTAAAATCGACCATTTACAAAACGAATTATAGTGCTTTTTTTATAAAATAATTCTATTTTATTAAAAATTCAGGGAGGAACAAACTTAATTCATTATTTACAGCAAAGTCACCTAATCGCAGTTTGATTAAATGTACCGAATACGTTGTTTACAAGTTTCAACGTTTCTTATAAGGATCATTTAGCATAAATTTCTTTAAGATCAAAGTAAAGATACGTCAAAGATTATATAACGCTTTCATTTGTATTAATATGGGAATAGATATCAAAGCATTAACGTTAGTAATAAACCAAATGAAACAGCAAATGAAGCAAACATTCTAAAATGATACTTATAGCTGGCGGCCAATGTCCTCTTGCTTTTGAAAAGAATGACAAAAATTTACTTATATTGAAGAACAAATTTTTACACGGAAATTAAATTGACCATGACGAATAAAGAGAAAATCTGAAGTCTTCACAGTTTTTTGCATGTGGCTATAAAAATGTTAATTTTGATTTATTGGTTCAACAGTCTCACCTACAGAACACTATTTAAGCATAAATACTAGAAAATCGGAATTAAATATCCATTTATATCATTCTGTAATTTGCATTTATATCTTTTTTGACAGCTTTATTTCGTATTAAATGGGAAATAATGCTTTTAAGTGTTAAATTTCGACCACCATGTCCCGTATTATGCAGGAGCACAGCTGTGTGGAAAATATCACATACGAATGAGAGATACTGTAAGACATTCATTTTAGTAGGATAACTCGCTTACAATATACAAACATATGATGTAGGTATCCCTTTACAAATCGGGCGAAAATGAAAGAAATTGGAACAGAAAGAAAACAGTTACAGACGTGTAGAGAAACGTCACCAGCTATACAAAGGAGAGGTTTTTAGTACTTCTTACTATTAAAAAATAAATGTTTGTCTAAGATTCAATATGATTTTGTTATTTGAATTTGAGATATTGTTGTTTTTTCCGTGTTGTTCAGAATTCTACATTGAAAATTAAGATATCATATTTGTATGACTCCACCATATATCTTCATATGCTACCTTCTAATACTGATGTTATAATGAATTATATATGAATTTGTTTTCATTTGTTGATGTTGTCGTTGTAATAAACATTTATTAAGCGGCTAGGAAGTACTTTGTTTAAGTTAGTTATACCTTAGTATTTAATAAATTGGTGATAATAAAGAAAAGTACATTTCATGATTTGTCCGCAAGGTGTTAAAATTAATATGTGCAAGGCAATGTGCATATAAATAGAACATACTTTAAGCTACAATATGTAACATTTTAAAAGAATGAAAATAGCATACACATCTGAAAGATGTATCTGGTGTGTTTTGAGAATATGTCTGATCTGTCCCATTTGCCGTAGCTGGTATTTGTTTATATTCTTCGTTCTCATCTAGTGTATTGTCGAGAAGAAAAAACTCTGCTAATTTCTTTGGGACCTTCTGGTCGAGGGTGAACAAAATCAAACCAACGAGTGTAGTCAATATCCCTGAAATATTACAAATATAATTGTCGTGGCTAGTGTCTGCAAATAATCATATATCAAATGGTATAAATAAATAAATGAATAAATAAATAAATAACAATGAAATAAATGAACCAATGTGTGATATGATTTTAAGGATAATGAAAATAAAATAAAATTCAGTCACCAGCAATTCTATTACTACCTACATTAAAATGTTACATATCCAGTTAATAAATGAGATGTACTCGTACATAATTAAGATAAATGATAAATACTAAGACTTGAACCTGAACGAGATAAATCACACAATGTTTTATATACAGAATTACATAAATTATAATCAGGATTGAGTAGTTTATATGAAACACATATTTATTGATTAACCACTTACCGAATACCAGGGTAGACCAAAAACACCAGCCATAGGTGAGCACAAGAGTGCCGTCAGAACATGGCATTCTGATTTCGGACTGTGGACAAAGGTAATCATAAACTACTGCCGCCAGAACCATACAAACACCAGTCAATGTAAAGCACGCTGCACCATACCATATAACACTACACAAAAGAATGTTTCCTGTGACCCAGAAAGCGAATGCAGCCCTGAAGTAAGAAATTATTATTTTTCGTGAAGAACAACATACCCCTATCGCTTCGGAAAAGTGTTTATTATTCGTTACGTATTTGTCAGATTATGCACTGCATTCATTTTAACCTTAATAAGAAAAACAAATACGTACCAAAGTAAAATATTAGCAAAATAACCCGCCATGAAACTAGCACGTCCGAACCTTAGACCTCCAGCATCGATATCAAAATGTTCAATAATAGACAGTAGTGGTTGTGGTAGACCGCGTTCTAGTGCGTTCCATGTTTGTGAAGGAGGGCGAATTACTGTCAAATTAGAAAGTAACTTTCATATAAAAAACAACAAAACAACTACATCAAAAATCAACAAAAAACAACAACAAAAAAAAAACAATAAATTATTAACTGTCCTTTCTGTATTTTTCAAGTAAATTAAAACATCTATGACACCCAGCTGGAAAAGATAATGGATTGAAATAATTTCAAACTTTGTTTTTGGTTATCATTAGCATAATGTACTGGAATCAGCTGTTTGGAGCCGCCAGGCTAGCCTGGATACCCGTACAGTGTGATCAGGCTCTATATTGTCAGCTGACTTACTCTAAATTAACACCTTGATGTATTCCCAAAGTCAATCTAAGAAATTCAGCAGTTTCAGGGTTAATGATTAAATTAGTTTGTTGCCATTAGTTTACACATTGAAGATATTAACTTTTATTCATACAGTAAAATATTTGCTAACTTGTAAATTTTGTTAAGTCATTTCACATATAGATAGATATTAAGGAAATGCTAAGCTGCATGAATAAGTCAGATGTTTACCGTCTTATTTACCAAAGCACACACACACGCATTATTAAATATTAAGTCTTTGTACCAGAAAGTCTTTCGTTTGAAATGTTTAAAAATAAACGGACTGTTTTTATGACTTTATCAACATCCTCGTGTCTTAAAACCTTTACCAAATCTTTTATTTTATTTAAAACCCATTACAAATAGACATTGTTACAACAAAATACTAAGACATCTAATATTTGTATAAAATTGATTTAATAGACCAATCATCTTTTTAACGTCCCAAACACACTTGACAATCACGGTGGGTGCCGTTAAATAGGATCTAAGTGCCCAGATTCAAGGAAAGTTTTACATATTACATTTATATTAAAAACATTTTTCATCTTGACATTGAACATCTGAACATCAGCAATGGTAATTTATCAAACTGTTATTTGTTTTGAGGAAAAACTTTTTGCAGGAAATACTATAACATTAAGATATTTAAAGTTATGAAAAGATCACAAACCTCCAGCTAGTTCAATTTCCTCGTTATAATTAAATGAGTTTTCATCTGTATGAAATTTTCCTAAAATTAAAAAAAAAACATATTGTTTTTATGTTATTTAGCTGGCAAAGAATACAATCGGTATATCGTTCGTCACGATATATTACTTGTTTCAATGAAATAAAACCATTACAATTTTGTTATAATTTCACAGAATTGCGATTTTTGCTATTTTTTAACGTTTTATTTTTTACTCCATAAAACACTTGAAATAGAAGAATCTTACATTCTCTGACATTTCAGATAGGGTTACACCAAACATTCTTAAATCGTATAAAAAGTTTATGTCAAATGACAACTTATAATAATATATATAATGTATTCAACTAGGTAATGAATATTGTTGAGGGTATACTCTTTTAAAACCAGCCATTGGTGTTTCATGGAATATCCAAAGTTTTGATAACAATGAAAGTATTGCAAATATATACATGCAATTACCTTGTAAGGTAAGATTGATAGTTTTGAGTCCTATTCTCACTCCTAAAGAACCCTTAATATGTCCATTACTTCTGTATATGTATGGTGAGTGTACTCCGACCTCTCCTAGTTGCCAACAATATCCGAAAACACTTACTGGAATATGAGTGTATTGACAGTCATTTTATAAACATTGTATATATATATTTATCGTGATAAGAATGTTAATTATTTCATATTCTTTTCCCTCAACATTTTTATGCTTATCGTAAAACGTTTCGAAATGGTGTTCACAATTTTACTGCTTGTATTTGTATATTATTTGATTTACTCTGTTATATGTCCTTGTAACATTTTTTTTTTACTGCTTGTAAATATAAATTGCTTTATTTATATATGTTATTTGCTTCCATGTTTATGACATCTGTCAAACAAAATGAAACATATAAAGTAGTGTGATGAAAGAAAAGAACATGAGCATAACAATACCTAGTATAATACTTCCAACTGCCAAACTGTAAACCAGACGAACCAATGTGTACCATCTCTATTATATACAAAATATAAAATCATTACATGCATGTGTATCATTTCCTGAAAATATCACATATATCATAAAACATGTTCATTCATTAAAAGATTCTCCTTATTTAAGGATTCCCACTTATACAATATTCATATAAGATATATCTATACACACACCTGTAATTTGTTCTATTGTGTTCAGGTAGTTTCTGATGGCATGTATGAATGTATGTATGTGTTGTTTCTTTGTTTTACAATGAAATTAAAGAATAATAAACATATTAAGTGTTTTATCATGACGGTCAATTTTGACGTGAGTAAATGTATTTTGTAATAATCTGTCTTTCTAATATTCTGGCTGTCCCATTTAGGAGGCTACAAGAGCTTAGTAAGAACATGACAAAGAATGATTGCTTCTTCCTCAAACGAGCCATGGTTTACTTGTCTTGATGTGTAGTTGGCTTAATCTTTATAGTATCATAATTCATACTTTGTACAAGTGTTTGATGATCCTTTCATTATCTTTTCGCATACACTGCTTTCTTCCACATTAAAAATGTATTCTGCTGAGTGAATGTTAAATGCACGAAACCATATGATATTACCAAACGATTTGAAGAACAGCATTGAAAATAAAGCCATATAAGACAATAGTTTACCTCTTTTCCTCGTATTCCTGCAGCGGCTATAATAGCTGCTAATGATATCAATATGCATGTATATATTATTGCGGCGAATGGAATATCCCATGTGACAGATGTCCGGTAATCTCCGTAGTTAGAGTAACCAAAATCGCCACGGAAAGCTCGGAACCATGTCATCCTGAAATTTCACAGATTAAAAAAAAAATAGTTTAAGACTTGTCACACAAACATAACTTAAAGTTAAGAATCGTTTTGTCCAGCATAATATCTGACGACGCAAAAATTGAAACTATTTGATTGTTTGGTCAAGTATTTATCGCTTTCTGTCTTTTATAACAAACCATTTCTTTTTGTAGAAAACTGCATAAATCGTGCAATGATGTTTGAATGAAACTTCAAACTTCTTATCTGGGCTTTTTTAACGTGGAAACATATTATCATATTTATGTCTGTAATTTAATTAATTAACATGTCTTAGTCATTTTTCTAATATCTCCAGACTCGATTTTAACATATCAAATAGTATCAACAAAGTCTGTGATCTGATTAAAAAACTGTTGATAAATTTTAATATTCTAATCTTTAATGATACGTGTTTTCATATCAATATTGTGTGATCTAAAACTAAAGAGTAGTGGTATTTTCCCTTAATAATTTACTTCTTATTACCTTTTTGTTAAATGAAATTATTTTGTAAATTTTCTGGAACATCCACATTCTTTATGACACTACTAATGGTCACATTTTTATGGCACTATTTATGATCACATTCTTTCAATTGTAATACTTGATGTTGTAATACTTAGTAATGTCGCTATTTCTTAATACATGTATATATATTTTTGAAAACTTAACATATTCATATGAAATGAATCAAATGAGGCAATTATGTTACATGATGAATGTAGCTACAACATAAATTATAATTAATCTCATAATCAATTAATAAGTTAAAAAGATAAATGAATTAAATGTATTATGAGAATATAATAATGCACATAACATTATGATAATAAGTATGCTTACAAAGAGTTAATTGATTCTGATATATGAATGAACAATGATATATCAGTATTATAGAGATTTATGTATATAAACAAATTACGTACTTTTTATCACATCAAAGGTAAAACATTTACTTGTTTAACTAGTTTACAAGGTTTGTCAAATATTTGCACATATTATAGCTTAGTTTATTGTCATATCAAAAGTGAATAGTGTATATCATGCTTTGGTTGTTGGTCGATGTTAAAATTATATCAGTATGTATACGCTTACTGCATATGCCTATAATCACCGATAAAGGGAAGTTTGTAAAACGAAAACAATGGTGAATATGCCATGTTCGGGAAACTTACAGTACCAATGTTTAACTTCAAGCATAATGTATATATATGGCGACATGTGAAACATTAAAATTCATATTCAAATAAACTTTTATCATACTTTTTGATTTACACAAATAATGCCGGGAAACAAATCTTGCTTAATTACAAACTTGCTTTAAGAACATTAATTTGAATACTTTATTTAAGCTGCAACAATAAGGCAGATGTCTATACTATTATTGTTGTCGTTTACTGTATGCTGTTTGTATTATTGTTATAATTAGGTATATTGATACTGTCATATATTTTGTAGAATATGTTCATTTGTCAGACATGCATCAAATCAAATATAGGCTATCATAGATGATTGTTGATGACGATATTTTCTTTAATGATAGATAAAAACAGAATGTCCTAAGAAATGAAAATAACTCAGATTTACAAGTATGTCACATATACATTTATTCACAAATTTACTTTTACAACCTAAAGTATATTGTGAATGAGTAATGCAGTTTTATATAACTTTATAACACGTCCATACGTAATACACTGTCATAAAACACACAAGTTGTCATACATACGTATGCAACCACAAGTAGCTATTTTAATTTACACTATCGTCGGTTTGTTTTATAATCCATAAAACAAGAACATCGGCTATTTGTATATTTATTGTCAAAGATAAACAGCTTTATTTGGATTTCCTTGACGTTTTATTACTGTATTGAAATGCGTGTCAAAGTTTTAAAACAAATTAAATTGACATTCATACATTAATTTCAGATTTTTAGATGGTTGCGGACGAAATTTAAAATTAAAAGTACAATTTGAATTAGGCAAGACTTATTTCAGGAAAATATTGGTTTTATAATAACAGTAAAGTTTGTTATTCTCATAAAAAGTTTCAATCCTTTGTTCAAATAAAATATTTTGGGACATATATAATGATAATTGTATTTCCATTCTTGTTCATGATACTTACTTAGTCTTATTTCCTGTTGCACCTTCCTCAAATACAAAGCTAGCCGGTGTCGAAATCAGTGGTAATTTCCTCATATTGACTGAATTTTTGTTCAGTTTATATATCTTATTATATTATTGTTTACTATAATGTATTTTGCTTATACAAAAACATTGCCCATAAAAGATTAAAATTATGACGAAAGACGTGCATATTTTCCCCCATGAATCAACAACCGGCTAATATATACTTTAACACAGCATGTCAAACTGTCTATCATATTTACAAACAATAATCTTCTGTTAAACGTATTTCCTCTTTTTATGGCTAACACATACAGTAATTGAATTTTTCGACACACGAAAATATTTCATTTAATCCAATTATCTTTTACATAATAACTTTCTCGAAAACCATCGAAACTTGTACATTACTTATCCTGTGTATTATCATCTAATATATTCAGACTGATTCGTATTCAGCAATATAAGCCGTCATATGTTCAAAAGTCATTACTTAAATCATAATACACGTAAAGTGACAACTATGACATTAACGAACACGAGTTAAACAGAGGAAGAAATTCATGCTAACATCAACCATTCCAGTGCATTCATTCACAACATTGTCCTATAATTACCGTCATGTTATACTCTGTTTGCTGAATGTAACACTTGTTTCCGTTTTGAAAATGTGGACTTACACAAAACCTTATTAACAGTAAAGGATAATATGTGAAGTATAATAGATACGTGCTGTAATAAAGGTAAGTCAGATATTATTACTTCAATACAAGTCAAGTCTTCATCTAAACTAAATGGATCTAATATTTCCTAAAGCTTTTGTTTGTTAAATGAAATTTTATGTTACTTAAGAATCACTATCAATTAATTAAATGCAAGATTCATAATTCCAATTGTCTCATATATACTTGTAGAATATCAATAGTCCGTGTGAAACTAAATGATCGAAGACATTGAAATTGCAATTTCGATGTTAGAAAATGATTAAAAAGGTAGGGTAAATGACATCGCCTTGTAGAAACCCAAAATTACATCAAATTGCATTTCGATGTTAAAAATGATTAAAAAGGTAGGGTAAATGACATCGCCTTGTAGAAACTCCAAATTACATCAAGTGTCTCGCGTTAAAACAAGTTATTTAAATGTAAATGTTGCTTCGTGTTTATTTTTATGTTAAGCATTAAAATAGATTTTCTTAAATTGACACGAAATTGTAATATGATTTTGAATAGTCTTAGTTGAATGATTTCTCGTTTATTTATAGTTTAATCAAGGCTTCAATTAACTCTAGCCGTGTTTATTAAGAACAGGGAGCATAAATCACTTGTAACCACGTCGATAATAAGCTGTCGTTAGGGTGACAGGGACATTAGCAAAGCGTGAGTACATAATTTACTTCTTTCATTCATTCATTCATTCATTCATTCATTCATTCATTCATTCATTCATTCATTCATTCATTCATTCATTCATTCATTCATTCATTCATTCATTCATGCATGCATGCATGTACGCACGCATTCATTTATCTATCTATTTATTTATTTCTTTGTTAATTGTTTCTTATGTATTGGCCAGCGATTTCAGATTTTTCTGAAGGCTCTCAAGGTTCATACCATAATATTTTGATATGTGTGTGGCATATTCTATCCGCGTGTGTATAACATTTAAACAACGTTAAAAATAGATATTTTAAAACATGCGAAAATATCTTACATATCACATACCACGGAAAAAGTATGACGCAACCCCAATGACGTCAATAACGACAGTCAAATTTTCAAGACCTGGCCGGTGGATACCGTCAAGTGCGCATTTATGATTTCATTGAACTGAATCTAATTTCATTTTGTTTTCAGTGCACTATTGGGACGTCGTTTTGCAGAGGTTTTTAAGTTGTCCGTTTTGTATACCATTAAAGTATTTTATTAATGCGATATCACCTCACTTTAAAGTAAGGTTGACATAGAGATTCAAAACACCATGAATAACGAAAAAAATACATGTAATCAAAACAAATAGAAATAAAGATATCTTTTCAGACATTGTCCATTAGTGTGACATTGCTTTATATAGAAATGTTTAGACCAGCAGTTATAATATTGGTTATAAAGATTGTTGACAGGTTATATGGCCCGATATTAACTGCTATTTGTAAATATAACCCGAGCCGCCCGTATTTATAATACAGCACGCATCATTTTTTAGAGAAAAAAGTAAAATTTCTTCATGAATCAACAGTAGCCGTGTATATAAAACCATATTATAGCATAAAATCAGCTATTTTCCAAGAAATATACATCAGCATGTTCATACTAAATGGTTGCAAAAAAATACATCAGTATGTTTATACTAAATGGTTGCAAAAAATATACATCAGTATGTTTATGCTAAATTGTTGCAAAAAAATACATCAGTATGTTTATAGTAAATGATTGCAAAAAATAATCAATATGTTTATACTAAAAGTGACATTATGCCCATTCAAGGGTATGCACAGTGAGTAAACAGGTGAAAGTCAAAATAAGTTTTTATATTGCCATGATTCATTTTAATTTTATTATTTACTTTACATAATCAATATCCTAAACATTTTCCAAAATAAGTTTTTGGTCAAACACCTTTTAAACAGTCAATCTTTTGAAATAAAAAGTCAATTCAGCTCAACTTGAGTATGAAAATTTGAACATAATGTGGCTTAAATGGTTGCAAGAAAAATACATCAGTATGTTTATACTAAATGGTTGCAAGAAAAATACATCAGTATGTTTATACTAAATGGTTGCAAAAATATAAATCAGTATGTTTATACTAAATGGTTGCGAGAAGAAATGTACATCAGCATGTTCATGATAAATGGTTGGGTTGCAAGAAATATATATCAGTGTGTTTATACTGAATGGTTGCAAAAATATACATTTATGTTTTTATACCAAATGGTTGCAAAAATAAATATAAGTGTATTCATACTTCGTTGTAGATAGAATTATACATCAAGTGCTGTGTGTTATACTAGATGGTTGCAAGAAATAAAGATCAGTTTGTTGAAAGTATTTGTTTAGAAGAAATGTTTATCAGTGTGTTACTACTAAAAAGTTACACAAATATCCATCAGTATGTTAATGATTTTTATACTAAATAGTTTCAATAAATATACAATGTACATTTTGCTAAAACTAAATGGTTGCAAGAATTATACCTCAGTTTATATTAAGTCTTTATACTAATTAATAGTTGCTAGAAATATACATCGGCATATGTCAAAATAAATGGCTGCTAGAAATTTGTATCATGATGTTCATACTAAATGGTTGTGATCAGTGTGTGTCATACTAAACGGTTGCTAGGGATAGACATCAGAGTGTTCATACTAAATGAATGCTGCTATAACTATATGTCAGTGTGTTTTTATTAAATGGTTGCTAGAAATTTTGTCAGACTTTTCATACTTAATGGTTGTTAGAAATTTACATACTAAACGGTTGCTATAAATATATATCATGTGTTCAAACAAAATGTTTGCAAGATTTTTATCTTATTTACAAATATTGCAAAGCTTTGTTATTCCATATATTGATCAACATGCATTCTTAAATATTATTAAACAGTGTTGAGGGAAATCAAGTTGGAAATGTTAGAAATAGCCATAAACGAGTAGTCAAATATTTAGCCTGATTCAACAGATTGTAGATTTTAATGACTAAAGACTGACGTTATATAGACAGTATATACGTCTTGCTTGTTATATAGACAGTATATACGTCTTGCTTGTTATATAGACAGTATATACGTCTTGTTTGTTATATAGACAGTATATACGTCTTGCTTGTGTTATATAGACAGTATATACGTCTTGCTTGTGTTATATAGACAGTATATACGTCTTGCTTGTTATATAGACAGTATATACGTCTTGCTTGTTATATAGACAGTATATACGTCTTGCTTGTTATATAGACAGTATATACGTCTTGTTTGTTATATAGACAGTATATACGTCTTGCTTGTTATATAGACAGTATATACGTCTTGCTTGTTATATAGACAGTATATACGTCTTGCTTGTTATATAGACAGTATATACGTCTTGCTTGTTATATAGACAGTATATACGTCTTGCTTGTTATATAGACAGTATATACGTCTTGCTTGGGTATTGACGTTATATAGACAGTATATACGTCTTGCTTGGGTATTGAATCAAAGTGTTACGGTGTGTGAAAATGATTTTTTAATTTATGTATAGCATATGCATTTAACTATGTTACGAAAATAGATGTAAAGTGAAAATTTATATAAGAAAAACTGAAAGGGGTCCACTAACGCTTTTATTTTTACGCTTAAGTTATACCCAAATATTAACTTAAACAGAGTATCTTAAGAATTCTAAGTTCTGTAATTCTGTCATAATATTTCAGTTGTCCAAAAATGGTGTCTAGACAACAGCATTGACGTCCTTTGATTGGAAAATTGTTTGTAGATACTTAGGTCTGATATTGAAGTGTCGCAAACGCCCAAAATCGTGAAATTAACCTGTCGAGGTGCAATTTGTTGCATTTTTTTATATATAAACATTCTTATCTGTATGTGCAGGAATACAATTAAATGTTGTTTTTTTTTTTACTTTGTGGCGACTCACCCCATTACTTCACTAACCTCTAGCGATAAAGAACGATATATACCTCAATGTAAAAGATAAAAGACGCACTTTAGTGAACTGTTCTTCAATAGAACTGACTGCGGATTACTTCTAATTAGTGAGTAAACAAATAATCAAAATTGTGTCAGTTGAGTACAAAGATTTCCGTTTGTCTTATTCCGCCCTGTAGAACAATTGCACTTATACCTCGTCATTAAATATAATGGACAAATAAAGGTACAGATAATTTACTAAAAGCATCTTTCATCACGTCTAAATAGCTAGGTAACTAGCACAAATAATTACAGGTCGCCACAATAATTAGACAATATGTACTTAGAAAAAAGTGCAGTTGTGTAAGTAAAGTAAAGGGGGAAAGGGTCGTGACCTTAAGGAAAGTGTCTGAATTCTTAACCTTCCGATTTTGATTGTTTACTTTCTTGTTTTTTTGTCTTTCATAACATAAATTCATTTTTCCCATTTGCTCTACGAGCCCCATGCAATACAAGATTTTATTACACGTGGCGATTTTGCGAATCCATTAAAATGGTATTGCACTGCCGTGCATATGTTTTGACGTGACACTTTTGCGTTATTTAAACATAGCGTCAAGACGCGCTAAATGTTAGCGTTTTACTACGGTATATGCACGTCAAAGACTAGAAATGTGTCCATAGGACACGGATGCCCCCACATGCCACTGTTCTGTCAATCTTATGACTCTAGGTCAAATATTTTTTGGACTACATGTGCCACAAGTTGAAAACTAAATATCAACAAAGTGCCATAATTCTGTTAAATTTTGTCACAGCAAAAAATCCTTCCTTTACTACGATCTACACATTAAGGTTGTTAATCCCTGGAAGTTAAAGCAAATCTGCCATCCGGTTTAAGAGGAGTTGCGTTCACAAAATTTCTACAAAGTATAAAGTGAAAAAATCAACAAAGGGCCATAATTCTGTAAAATTTGGTCGCAGCGAAAATTCCTTCCTTTACTACCATCTACACATTAAGGTTGTTCATCCCTGTAAGTTTAAGCAAAATCTGCCATCCGGTTTAAGAGGAGTTGCGTTCACAAAATTTCTACAGTAATAGAGTGAAAAAATCAACAAAGGGCCATAATTCTGTTAAATATGGTCGCAGCAAAAATTCCTTCCTTTACTACCATCTACACATTAAGGTTGTTCATCCCTGGAAGTTTAAG